GCATTGAGGAGAAACCATGCGTGTATATCAATTCGCGTAATAATTTCAGTATCCTTCTTGAACCCACAGAATATGTTCATAAGTACACTGTTTGGTTAAAGAGACATTACGTATAGATTGAGGTAGAATAAAATGAAATGAATTGAATTGGTGTTTAAAGGAGGCAAGTCTCAATATCATCCACAGTCTTCGACATTGCAAACACGGCTTATTGGTCAATTTAAATCAAAATTTGTATTGTTATCTTACCGTGAAAAGTTGGACTTTTGATATCAAATGTTTAAGACCAAATGAAAATTTAAAAATTGGCACACGAATCGCGTGCCCGAATGCTTTCTAGCGCCATTTGTAATGAAGCAACTCGACGAACAAGGCTAAACATACCCCACCGGAGAACACTACCGGTGTAGATTGAAATAACCAGACGCCAAAGACTGTAATTCAATTTGGACTACTTAAATATTAAATAATCAATTTAAGTACATTTTAGTGTGCAAAATAGATATTATCCGAATAATGGGTGGCTTTGAGCGGTTCTTTTCACTACTATATGTCAAATTATTTTATTTTGGGCGAAGTTATGAATGTTTGAAGATGTAGCCTAGATAAAGAGCTGACCGTTCTTGCTATAATGGTTCAAAATAGATATTGAAATATGAATATATATGGAATAGATTGTTTATTGTCGTAGCAACGGTACTTGACAACCGAGTCAAAGTCTAGATTATCCATTTATGAGTGTTTGAAGTTTGGACAAGAAATAGCCGATTGTCAAGTATCATTGCCATAAGATAAGAATTATTGCACAGTGTTATGAATGTTGGAAGTTTTAACAAACTAAATAGTCTCCGACGATTGCCGATTGACACGATAATAAACGAAGGCTGGGTTGTCGGCATATCTATCGTGAGTACCTGACATACTATCGTTTAACGCGTGTATGACGGGCATTGTCTGCATATTTAATCAATGATTGATTAAGGACTGGTCATAACATTTGAAGATCTGCAATAGACAGATTCACCTCTTGCGTTATACATCTTTATTCAAATAATTGAGACATTTGTTAATAAAGTTACGAAAGACGGAGACCGTAAATTTTCCAGTTTTTTGATGACGAATGCATATTATCTCAAAGAAAGAAAACACATTATTTATAATATAATAATACCCATTTCTCTGAGTGGTTTAAGTATTTTTTTAAACCCAGAGGTATTTCTTCGAACACGAGTTGGGGAATTTAATTTTTGCCTTAAGAAGAATGTATTGTTCGTAAATCTTTAAACGAAGAAAGGGTCCCGCATTTCTAAGCTAATAAATTGCAGTTTTGGATGCAAAAAATATTTTACACATCGTTATAATGTTTATTCGGTCGTTTCGTTTACAATGAACGTATTATATTAACAGGGAGTGAATGGTGAAGTGGAGAAATGTAGAGCAAATATGCAATTATGGAATTGAGAATGATATAATATGCATATTTGAATAATCAGTTCCATTGTAAAGAAATGATGCATTCATAACACAACTTTATAGATTACATGTCTTTTATATAATCATGTATACGTACATTTATATAAATTTCAGTTCTTCAAGTGTACATGTAAGGTTTTATTAAAAATATTTCATTTAAAGTGACGCTTTATAAAATATGTACAGTTATGTAAGATTTACATGTAAACAAAGAGCTTGGCGTTATTACTATAATAGTTCAAAACTAGAATATATTGAAAATTTTAGTCAAATTACTCTCTTCTTAGCGAAGTTATGAGAGTTTGAATTTTGACAAGATAGTAAACAAAGTCTCTATTATCCATTTTAGCGTTAAATAATAAAATGGCGACGCTTGTCCAATCCACATAATAGCTATGCCACCCGATGGCCTAGAGAGTTGATTATGGGCTTGTACACTCGGCAAACCCCAGCAAACTCCCCTATATCTAGCCTTGGCTCTATGATGAAGTCCACCATTGGAACTACTTTGAAGAATGTTTTATCATACAAAGCTTTCAAAGCCTGAAGCTGTTTTTCTATCAAGTTTATCCTATTTTGAACTGAAATTTCTACACACTCTTCGAACGACGCAATTTTGAGAACTCCTTTCTAAAAGCGACAAGTTTTCCTAGTAAGTTATAAGGTGCCGCAACGCTATTGTACGTGTGTAGCTACATATCGCTTACCGCCGAGACTAGATGTAGAGTACTGGAATCTGCCGAGGTTTGCCGAGTGTGGGCTTGCAATGTGATTAATTTATACTGAACAGATGATACTGAACAGCAAATTAGAATTATTATGATTTGCGCTTCACAATTTAGGTAAATATACATTATGCAAGAGCTAAATATGCCTATTGTGGGTCTTTCTTTAGGCCTGAAATGTTATATAATCTATTAATTAGACATTTATTAACACGACAAGGCCATAATCAACTCTCGACGCTATCTGATGGGTCCGATTTCCATTAGATTTGAATCCGATCTGTCGTTCAATTGTCTATTCTTCATAATAATTATTTTCGTCATTTAATAAATTATATATATATATATATATATTTTATTTTTGTTTTGGGCCACAAGCGCTGCCAGTCTTCTTCTTTCGTCTGATCTTGATGAAACTTGACATGTTGATTCTTGGACAATTGCGCATCGATTGACGGTCTTCTATTTTTGATATGTCGCAATTCCAAGATGGCTACGACAAACAATTTTTTTAAAAGAGAATATATTTATCGCAAAAATAGAAATGCTACTTTAATATTAATTGTTTTTTTATTTTATTTTTTTAAAAGTCATGTCGGGTTGATACGGTGCAATTATGCTACACAAATGGGCCCCCTCATAAATATATAATTAAGCCCTCTTTACAAAACTATATCTAGGTATGCTTGTATACGTATTTATTAGTTGGAGATGAATTAGCTGTCGAGGAAATGTAAACAAACTATACTTCACAAATATTTACAATCAAAATCCAGACCAAGTAACCTTCTGTCTGGGTCACACTATATTCCCACCAAAATTACAAAAGGCAAAAACCACAAAAATTTAACAATAATTATACCGTAATTTAACTCTTTTTTTTATTTTTACAACGCACTGAATTACATATAGTTGGATTAGTCTATGTCTCAAGAGTTATTCTCGTTGCTATGTTTGAGTATTGAAATGAGTTGCCTATTCGGACATATTTACATTGTATTACCGGGACTCAAATTTAAAGATACATTATGGAAGATTAGATAAAGAACTGGCAGTTCTCATTATAATAGTTAAAAACTAGTTAATGTAAAGGGAATTTGCTGAAAATTTCAGTCAAATTGATCCACTCTGAACCGCGAATTTTCGACCTAGCCTCGATCATCATTACGGAAGTCGGTACGATAAAAAACTAGTCTCGATTTTCCATTTCATGATTAAAAAATGAATGGAAGTCGAACAGGAAATCGGAACCTAATCCAATAAACATCACAGGCTAGCGATTACACCGAGAGTTGGTTATGGTCTGGATAAGTTAATTAATAATTAATTTCTAATTAATAATTTAGATAACATTTCAGGCCTAAAGAAAGACCTGCAATAGGCAGATTTAGCTCTTGCATAATGTATGTTTAAGCATGTAAATCTGGTCTGTTCTTTGGCTACATTCGTGAAATGGCATAGTTACCAAAAAGCCTTAATGTTTTAGGGTACGTTTCCTGAAATTAAGGAGGCAAGTCTTTAACTCAATACCATCCACAGTCTTTGACATTGCAAACACGACTTATTGGTCAATTTAAATCAACATTGATGTTGTTATCTTACCGTGCAAAGATGGACTTCTAATATCCAATATTTAAGACACAATGAAAATTTTAAAATTGGCACACGAATCTCGTGCCAGAATGCTTTCGAATGCCATTTGTAATGAAGCGACTCGATGAACGAGGCTAAACATATCCCACAGGAGAATACTACCGATGTAGACTGGATTAGACGCCAAAGACTGCCATTCAGTTTGGACTCTTAGCGTATTTCGCCGAACATAACTGATTAGAAATTACACTGAAAACAGAAACAATTGAATGTAAATTAGTTTATATACATTCATATTACATTATTATATGTGTTGCGACCCATTTGTGCCCATTTCTAAGTGCCAAAGAATAGCGATTTAGCTCCTTTAATATCTATAGGGTGAATAATAAATCTAATACAGAAAGACGGTCCATATGGCTGACAAAACTTTTTCTTACGGTTGGGTGACGCAATAAAACAATTATTTTTGCACCTTTTTTTCTCTTCCTCACCCTCACCTAAGTCGCACCATCGACATAATTATCGTTAACATAGTTACCAAAACTGCTGCTGCTGCGGGAACGATAAAGATCAAGACGACGATGACAATGATGAAGATAGATCATGATGATGAAAAGGAAGACGATCGTATAAAGGGATTAAAATCCTAAAAAAAAATATTGGTAAAGGAAATATGCGTAATTTTGTCCATCAAACTGTTATTATGATCGCGGCAACGGTGGCGTAATTCTTCATACATATTATTGTTAGCTATGTGAACTTCTCAAATGAGAATGTGGACATTTGGGTGCTTCAAAAAGAGTAAGCACGGTCTGCTTTGTGTACGACGCCTGATCATGATTGAATTTTTGCGATTTTCGAGTCGAAAAAACATAAATAAAATTTAGGTATGTAGATATTTGTCTACTAATCTTTTATTAAATATATATATATATTTTTCACCATTAATCTTTTAACAAAATTTGTACTTCTCTAGAATTAGTCAAGTAAATTTCAAAACCTATATCTAAGGTGGGTTTTAGAATGGATGGTTCTAGAATTATTCAAATCTTTGGTTACTAGACATAGAGGCGGGATTAACCCTCTCGGCCAGACAACGTTTTCACAAGATAGCTGTGTTCATTCGTCTTTTTTTCATTAAGATGGGTCTGTCTGGGCGGGGATAGACTGTGTACTAAAATTGGCAAGAATCATTTGTAGTACACTAAAGTCTGGACCACACGCAAATTAAACGTCACAACAAGCCCCACAAATATAAAATCAACAACACCTCGCATTCGTCAGAATCTTGCCGCCATCTGAAGTGGGCAGACGTGTGAATGAAGAGAGCTCTGACAGACCACGAACAAACCACGAGTGAATGAGCAAAGTCATTGAGGTGAAACGAGCTTGTATTATTATTACTACTACGAGAAGCCACGAATACGGACGTCAACCACTAGAGCATAACAGTGTATGAAACATCAATTATCATTCATATTTAACGAACTAGTTTATTTATCCGTTTTCTTTATTGAAAAAAAAAATCAAAAACTTTTTTGTTGTGAAAAATTAGGAATTAAACTTTTAAATTGAAAAGAAATTGCAATACGCGTAAAACATGCTTGAAAAGATTTTGGGAGTAGAATTAATTCTACTAACATGTGTGCATCACTTTTCAATTGCACAAATTTCCAGTCAGCCGCAAGCGGATATTGAAGAATTTTCAAATTCGACAAATTCTCTACCAACTGAAGAATCTGCTGACCACAACATCAGAATGCGACAAAGGTAAGAATATAGATATTTCAAAATATATAAAATATTAATAAAGCTTAATATAAATAATTAATTATCAATTGTGAATTTAAAAAGAAAAATGCTAAAAGCTTTACATTTGATAAGCATGGCAATGTTATATAATTTGTAGTATAAAACACGTGTTTCTATCAAATATGCGTAGAATTTGAGTAAATATTAAAAATTGTTTATTGTTCCTATAAATATGTCTTAGTTTGACGGATTTACAGATTTTCGTGAGAAAATTGCATCATACACGCTACAGATTACATCACGTTCACGATGAAAAGCCCACGAATAGTATAGGTGATTACCTCAGGGTGCGCCACTTCCACCTTACGTATTTATCTTGTTTACAAACATATTTGTAAAAGCTGCGATCGATTTTCGTGAATAATTAACCTAGTTTGTGATATAATAGAAACGATGAACAGTCCATTACTTTGCAATACGCATTTCATATAAATGAGTCTGTTTTTCTTTTTTAAAATAAGATTTCCTGCAAAAATTGATAAGAAAGGGTTCATCGTTCTAAAACATTTTGGGGGGTGAAAACATTAATATTGCGATGTTTTGTATAAGAATAAAAATATCAATTTGAAAAAATTCTTTCTTACAAACATTGTCAACAAAAAAGAACAGGGTTTTTTTTTAGCTTTTCGTTTTTGGTCATAAATCTAGGTCAGGGACTGTAAACAAAAATAGTATTAAATCATTGGATTGACCTTCTGGCCCTGTCCAGCAAGTAGTATTCCACTTCTTTCTTGGCAAAACGCCTAGTTATTGCACTATTTTGAATTGTTGCCAAAAGGTCGAGATGGACGAGATGATGTTGTACTTTACATTGGAAAATAGATTCATATATAACACAAGGAAAATTTCTTTCAAGCGTAAACAATGAATAATACAGGGTCTCCGTAGCTTTAAAGTTTATCGGGGTTTAAAAAAAAACGAAACAAAACAAACTAAAACCAATTTAAAAAAAAAAAAAACAAACAAAAAAAACCCGACAACAACAACAAATAAACAACATCTGTACTATTGTGTTTTCCGTGTGGTCAACATGTTTTCCACAAAACAGGACATCTGAAACCTGAAATCAGACACACTTGACAGTGATTTGGTTATTAAATAAATCATACGTAATTTCCTTTTTCAAAACTCTGTTCCAAATCTGTTGTGCCAAATTACTTTTTCAATTTAATTTCCAAATTATGTAAACTCATGCTAAAATACGAATTCTAAAAGGGCAAAAAAGAAAAAAATATTCTTTCGGTCTGGAAATTTCCAATCACATAATGAGGACTACATGTACTTCGAGACAGACTCAGACAATAAACAAGCATGGATGCCCCAGACGTCTGCTCAAGTTAACTGACCAGACATTGACCTTCAATGACCTTATTTACAAATATAGACGTTGAATGGTCATCAGTGAATGAAATGAACATGTTGAAGTATCAATACCATGCTGTTTGCTGATCACGACGGATGCTTTCTGAACGATATGGTTCACGCCCCTTAAATTGCCAAGCACATGTCTTAATACTTAATACCGGCATTGTCAACTCTAGTCTCCAAAGTTTATTTCAAATTTAATAAAAAAAAACCCTGTTACCACAATATAAATTTTAATTTGAAATCAGAAAAGGAGTTATTTAAGTTATTGAAATATTTTAATAGAAAAACTCCTCTTGTTACGAAAAATAGTTGGAATTTGTTGTTTTTAAGAACTAATAAATGGATATATTTAGATCGAAAAAAACGTATCACTGCCCGGGAGTGTGAATGAATTGTTATTAATTTGTAATCAGACTGAATTTTATTAATGTTTATTTATATTTTATGTAGATATCGTGAATACAGACTGAATATGATACGCCAACAGATATTGAACACTTTAGGTTGGAGTAAACCCCCGACAATAGACTTTGAAACCAGAGAAAATCTGTTCTCTAACCCGTCCATTACACCACAAGGCAGATTTATCCATGAGAAACAATGCTTTGCCTCACGATGTAAGTACATGTATACAATATCTTTAAGAAAGAGCGGGCTCACGGTGGCTAAATGGATAAGACGCTGGCTCGTTAGCCTGGAGGTCGAGTGTTCGATTCACGCATTAGCCGAGAAAGTTCATCGATGTTTCCGACGTGGTTTCCCCCCTTGTCAGTGATGCAGGACGAAGGGTCGGACAAGGACAAGTGTCTAGTCGTTCGGATGGGACGGAAAACCGAGGGCTCTTGTATACAATGGCGTGCACGTAATTTAATTTTATTTCAATAATTCGCTTGCGCGTAGGGGTCTTTAGCAGTGGGAGGAAAGCGGGGGACCCGGAGAAAACCCACGAGGTTGGACTGGCGACCCTACTCCTTGTCACGTACAACCGGGGATTCGAAACCACGCCAGTTGACTCAATGACAGGCCTTATGATACAGCACGCACGTGCTAACCATTCGCCCCCCCCCCCCCCTAATTGTGTACATATATGCAAGAGCTAAATCTGCCTATTGCAGGTATTCTGCCTATTGTAGTTAACATTTCGCCTTGAAACAATCAAGCCATTTTTCTGAAAGATACATTATGTAAAATTTAGATAAAGGGCTGACCGATCTTGCTATATTATTTCAAAATAGATATTGAAAAATGAATATATTTAAAATTTAATACAAATTACTTTATTCTGTGTGAAGTTATGACTATTTGAAGATGTGGCGTGCTTGACAACCGAGCCAAAGTCTAGATTATCCATTTATGAGTGTTTGAAGTTTTGACAAGAAATATCCGATTGTCAAGTATCATTGCTATGATAATAAGCGAAATTTCAACTAACGCAATTATTTCACCCTCACTCCTGGAGTTTGCCAGAGGGTATTGATAAAATTACCTTCCGGTATTACGCCCTAAATATTTTATTCCTCCAAGTTAAAAACATCCCATGTCATAATAATACATATAATGCTACTACGGAGTTTAAAAAGGCGTAATGGACGTCACGGTGGCAGTGGGTAAGACGCTGGCTCACTAGCCTGGAGGTCAGGTGTTCGATCCCTGCACTAGCCGAGAAAGTTCATCCAGATTTTCCGGCGTGGTTCCCCTAGTCAGTGATGGGACGAAAAACCGAAGTTCCGCGTACACATTTGGCTTGCACGTAAAAACAAATCCCTTGACAGTTGGAATTCGATATAAGAGTAGGTCGTAGTGCCGCTGTCCGGGCAAAATTTCCCTTATAGCACACTGTGTGGTGTATGCCATCTTCATTAGCCCAATTCGGAGCAGAAAAATAGGACGTTAAATCCCGTTTCATTTCATTTCATTTCATTTAAAAGGCGTAACACCCAAACCCATAAGGCCTACCCACAGTTTTCGATATTACAAGCACCAATTACTGGTCCATTATCGTGAAAATATGGGCTCTTAATATCAAATAATTAATACACAATGACCAATGTTAAAAGCATCATTTGTAATGTCAAGTCAAACTGCCGATGTACACCGGACTACCCAGGCGCCGTCGACTGCCATTCAATTTGAATTGCTCACTTATTTCGATGAACATAACTGATTTTTAATTAAAAAAAATAGCAAGATAAATGTAAACCAGTTTATATAGATTCATACTGCATATACATTACTATGTTCTTTTTAGACCATTTTCGTTCATTTAGTGGGGATACGGTGGCCCAGTGAGTCAGACGTTGTCTTCGCTAAATTGGAGGGCCGGTATTTGATCCCGGTGTTGGCCTAGGAAGTTCATCGGGAATTATTCGGCGTTGAGCGAAAAACCGAGGTCCCGTGTACAACTTGGCTTGTATATGTATAAAACAACATTTGGCAGTTGGAATTCGAAAGTAAGCCGCAGCGTCGCTGCACGGGCAAAATATCCCCTATACCACATTGTATGCCCGTCTTCATTAGCCCTGTCGGAGCAGAACAGTAGGCGTTAAACCCCATTTCATTTCCTTTTTTCGTTCACTCTATGCTTCAAAGAAAATATATTTAGCTGCTTTAAAACTCTGGTTCACACAGGCTGATATTGTAAATAGGCCTATGTTTAACAGATGTGGTCCACTCCTTCCTTTTATAGTACCATATCCTGTTATTATTTTCTATTTTAAATATTTGTAAAGTGTTGAAATAGTTCGCCACCTACAAGAACATACGACATTGTTTACTGTTTCTAGTATTTCAGTAGAATCTGGAATATTAATGCACACCAGACGTCATTTTCCTAAGTCGGTAGACAAAACAGAAACTGTGTAAACACAAACAACAAAAATTTTATTCGTGTATATGTTAAAATTACGAATTTAAGAATGACAGAATGGTAGCTCACTTCCTAGCTATTGTCGTTCACTTAGCTGAGGTGTTGGGTGGCCGAATGGTAAGATCTATTTGTTAAGGCCAACTCAATTTTCGTCAAGGTCGCTGAGATGTAAATAAGCTTAGGGCACGTGATTGTTGGCGAGATTGTAGGTTAGTGTTAGGGTAAGCGTTAGGGCTATGTCCGGGGTTAACGTTAGGGTTGGGATTAGCGCTAGCCCTGTTTACACCTCGTGATCTTTTGACCAAACTTGAAGTTGGCCTTATCAATTAGATCTAACCCGTGGCCGAATGGTCTACGTTCAAACGAATTATTGAAATAAAATTACGTCGAGTGGACGTTAAACCCGATCTCTCTCTCTCTCTCTCTCTCTCTCTCTCTCTCTCTCTCTCTCTCTCCCTCTCTCTCTTACGCCTTCTTTGTTATTTTTATTTTTATTTATCTTTTTCATACGAATCGAATCTGAAAAGTATTCTATTGTTTGTTATCTCCTTTTTCAGGTGATGTACCCGACTCCATAGATTATTCATTATGGACAGAGAACTCTAATGTTTTACATCTATATCAAGACGTACCAGAATTAAATAATCGTAAACAACTAACCTCGGCTACACTTAGGCTTTATATCAGATACAATGCTGGTGGGTTCATAAGTTTCATTATTTTTTATTATATTATTAAAGTATTTGAATAGCGCTCCCTTTCCCAAAATGTGGGAGCCGCTAACCAGCATGTCTCGGTTTCGCTCCCTGTATTGGTCGAGAAAGTTTGCCGGCGTCGTTACCCCAAAGTAGTCGAGGGATTGGCAAGGACAGCATGTAGTCGTTTGGGTGATATGAAAAACCGAGATCCCACGCACACGTTTACGTGCACGTAAAAGACCCATAGTCGGTCCAGAACAGTGGGACATTAAACCCCATTTCATTTATTACTTAAACATTAAAGCATTTATATAGCGCACGCTTTCATAAAATGTGTTCAGATGCGCTGTACAATATACATTACAAAAAAGTAAAAACAAATACATTTAAAAACGTGGAATGGAAGGAGAACAGTTACATATGAAAAAACTCTATAAATAAAATCACACATTTAAGAACTCTTGAATTATTGGCATTGCAAGCCGAATTCAAACTTTGTTTTGATCAAATTTTCTGCATTTCAGTATGATTAATAACATAATTGTGGCTTATGCAGAGAATACAAAACATTAACTCTTACATTATTTTCAGGCAATGCAAATGGACGTGGAAGTTCCCGACTTCTTATTTCCGTATCTCAGTTTCTAAGACCACTTCATATCCGTAGACGTGGTGGCAGAGGTAAGATCTAAATTTATTACCTCATATTCTGATTCCTTTCACAATGCAGTAAAGAAAAGTATAGCATAGTAAGTAGGACGTTGAACTCCATTTCACAATGTTATTAGGCAGCACAGTGAATCTTTACACTTAAGAACTTGTCGTTTTAAAACATTGGTACCTTCGACAAGGGTCTCCACTTTTAATTTACGTATTTAATATCTGTGCCAAAATGATCAGAAATTTTCGTTCTACGACCCTTTTATAAGTTTGAAGTTTTAGGCTATATCTACTTTTAAATATTGTAAATCAACAGCTATATATATCCCACATTTCCTTCATTTTCAGTTATCAATCGTAAACGTTTAATTGATGCAAAAATGGTGAACTGGGAAGGTGCCTCGTGGGTTGTACTGAATGTTAAAGATGCTGTTAGCGAGTGGATAACAGGTTCCAGAGAAAACTACGGTCTAGCTGTAGCTGTTAAAGATGAGAATGAGAATGAAGTAAATGCGTCCATGTTATTTGAACAAATTGATTGTTACAGTCCATCAAGTAAGTAGATGTTGTTTATTTATTGAAAACAGAACTATACATTCTAATAATATTAGTCATGGTGCGAGGTAATGTTTGAAAAACTGACTGTAAATTATATCCTGAGTACCAATCTTCTAGAGACTGTTTGCATACCAGTTCATAAAAAAACGTTGAAAATTGAAGAATAAACGGACCCCCCAAACTGGGTGAAAACGTTAAACTTCTTTATGGGCACTGAGTCTATCATACTCGTTGGTTCCTGCTCATTTCACCCTGTCTGATTACAAACAATACGGCATGAGTTGGAATGTTATTTTATACATGTAATAAGTGCAGGAGGACCGCACCACACATAGCCAAAACCCATAAGACACGCAAACTACACGGCCATTACAAGCAATAATCTACAATTAATCGTCTATGAAGTTATTGACATTTTTAATATAGTGTGTGCATCGTGCATTTTTCCTTGTCTGTCAACTTTTTCAATACTTAGGGCGATATTGACAAAGAATACTTTGCGGGTTATTGTCGGTACATGTAATTATTAGTACCGTTTCCATGCGTACTTAGTCATTAATTTTCTCAAGTTTTCTATGACAAAGATCGTTTCTAATGGCGTTGGGTTTTTTTTTTGTTTGTTTTAGATATTGGTTGTCGCGAGGAAGAAGATATTAATGAGCGAGGTACTATATGGACTGTTGGTAGTTACCCATATCTACAAATTGCTACTAAAGAAAGGGTTAGACATAGACACAGACGTCAAGCCGTTAATACCTTCACAAAAACAACAGACAGTACACAGCTTATTTTCAAGAACACTCAACGATCTTCTCCTCAAACCGTTGAAGAAAATACATACCAAAGACACCGATTAAGAGATTCGGGATGTGAAGGAAAATTAATAGTTAAGCAAATAAAAGGTGTGTATTCTATATATAGTTTTTAAATGTTAATATTTTTAAAGTCTGATATACATAATTTTGATTAAAAGTTAAAACTTTCTTTCCGCTATATAAAGGGAGATCATGCGTGGTAACTATGAAGTGTATTAGGGCCAAATGAATAAAAGAACCATACTAAATTCTAATTAGGATCTTAAATAGGATTTAGTATATCCTAATTAGAGCTTAATGAGATTAAGCTTCCAGATTACCCTTACCCTTGCTGCTTTGGATGTATTTTAAAGTTGAATTAGATTTTCTGTTTTTAGTCAATTTTTCAAAAGAAAATCAACATCGTTTCTTCCGGGACAACATATTGATATTCTATTGAGTGGTCGAGTGGTTTATGATCAGGCGACGTGGTCCTGCACCACTGACAAGGGGAAACCACACTAAGACCGGAATCGAGCTCCGTACCTCCTGATTAGTGGCTCAGCGCCTTTACCCACTGAGCCATTTGTTCTGATTGCTTCTAGAATATAAAACATATTTATAAATAAAAAGAAATCTATAAAAACGGAATGTATTATTTTTTTCAGACAGTAATATCATTACGCCCAGAACGTATACGACATTACAATGCAGTGGTTCTTGCACGGGAGGTAAAGCGTGCCAAGCTTCAAGATTTGAAAAAGTAAAAGGGCTCGTTTTTACGTCGGATGGAACATTATCATACCAGGATACTAGTATTGTCAGAGCGGTGGAATGTTCATGTCAGTCTTAAAATAAAACTGTAATTTATATATTATTCAAATTATTTAATATTTATGTAAATAGTCATTGTGACAATTGTTTGATTATGTTAGTACACCAATTTATGTTTCATTTGATATTAAAGTCATCGACCCGGTTTGGAATTGACATTTTTGATTAGTGCTAATTAGCTTAATGAACCATATCTATAGAAGAACATTATAACAATTAATTGTAATTTTTATTCATCATATATTATGATACATATATAATTGTATGAGATGTTTGAGGCAGCTATGTGAATGTGTACTTTTGCTTTTATTCAGTTGTGTTAGTATTTAGATAATTAGAGAAAACCACCACAATATTCATTCTATCCCAAAGTTCCAAATGTTTGCATTTAGATTTGTAATTTCCCGAAAAAAGGGACATTTTGAAACCAAACAAATAAATCCCTTGCAAAAGTTGTCTAACTGTAGTATTTATTTTAATTATTCCCTGCAAATGTTTTCATTTGGATTTGAAGTTTTTTTTAGAAAAATAGGGAAAAATAAAAGAAAAAATATATTTCAGTGCTTAGACATTGTATAGTTTTGTGTTTATGTCGAGCTTTATTAATTGCTTTTTGTGCAAGTTTCATAATATAACCTATCATATATAGCTTTAAGTAGAGCTTTAAATCATTATCTACCTCAACCATTATTATGGTCAGCTGTCATTTTGTTCGTGGAATTATATGGTTTTATCATAATATTCTAACGATTGTTTAAATATTGTTTCTTTATATCTAATTACATACATTGAATTTATATATCTGTATAAGTAATGTTTTGTTTATTTTTTATTGTTTAGTTATTTTATTCGAATAGCATCTTGCATAATATTTGAAATTTAATTTCCTTTGCATAAAAAAGAAATTATTTCATTAAAATGCAAGCATTTGAATGAAAAGATAAATTATATTTGCAATGAATAAAACTTTTTGAAAACTTGATATGTATTTGCATTGCAAATAAGGCTCAATATAATATCAATTAAAGCAAAATTATGAATGAAAAATTGAACTTCATATGAATGAAAAATTGAACTTCATTTGAATGAAAAATTGAACTTTATATAATTGAAAATTTGGATTTCATATAATTATATTTGAAAAAAAAACCCAAGAAATTAAATTCTGTTGATTTTTTTTTATGATGTTATGTTTAATTTGAATAAAAAGTAATTAAGTATAATTTTATTCGTTCTAATAGAATATTATTTATTCTCATATTTCTTTGTTTGATAGCAATACCGCTTGAATCAGTCAATCTGCTGGAATATATTTATGCTTATTTAACTAATATTGATATTGTATATTTTGGTGAAACTTTCCCCTCCAGTGTATATGGGGGTACAATGGCAGCAATATTTCATAGAATTGTATATAACGTGTATATAATGTTTTTGTTTTGTATATTTTGGAGAAGTTTTTTATAAGTTAAGGATAAGTTTGGATTGGTGCGATAATAAACAAAGTCTCGATTATCCAGTTTAACGCAAGATTCTTAATTTGCGACGTTGTTCTAATCTATTCAATATCATAGATAACCTAGATAGTGGATTGTGGGCTTGTAAATAAATGTATAAATAATAGTTTATATAACATTTGAAGCCAAAAACAGACAGATTTAGCTCTTGCATAATGCATCTTTATTAGCTTTGATAAAGAACTGTTCGTTCTTGCAATAATCGTTCAAAAATAGATAATGTTAAATAAATATATTGAAAGTTTCTTCCAAATTACTTTATTATGGCCGTTTGGAGTTTTGACAAGAATGTTTATTATCTTAACAACGGTACTTGTTATTTGAGACTTAGCCTCGCTTCGTCATTTTTAATTTAAATCAATAAATGACCAGGTTTAAATCCGTTAAAATCTCGGCCATCCAATGCCTAGAGAGTTGATTATAGGCTTGTCATGTAATAAATGTCTATAAGGGGTGTCGTGTAATTCCGTCACGGTGGAATCCATGATATAATAGTTTATATGACCTTTGAAGGCATAATAAAGACCTGCAATAGGCAGATTTAGCTCTTATACAATGTATTTTTAATAAAATCATCCAAATGTGTAGTTCGTTAATTTTATGGATCTGAATATAGAACTTATTTCCAAGGTCTTTAGACGTGTCATTTTACAATGGTGGGAAGGAATTAATGTGCCTTCGTTATATATATTATATTATATATACTTTCTTATCTACAGAAGTTTTCTTTTGTATTCGTATGTGTTGATTATAGCATAAACATGTTTAATAAATATCATAATAGTTTTAAATCTTTACTGCTATTGTTTTATTGTCCGAATTAACAAACTGCTCAACAAAATAAAGCCGTTTCCAGTGTTAAATATCGTATATCTATACCAAGTCGTATAAAAGTTGATTTGATAGTTTGTATGGTCAACACTGCAGATGCCGGATAGGCATATATGTTTAGATCTATCTTCAAGCCAGAACAGCTCTGTCTTGTCAGCAGTTCAATGAATGAATGAAATGGGGTTTAACGTCCTACTATTTTGAGCGGACAGGGCTAAGGAAAACGGCAATACGCCATACAGTGTGCTATGAGGGAAATTTTGCCTGGGCAGCAACGCAACCGCCTACAGAGAGAGAGAGAGAGAGAGAAATGGGGTTTAACGCCCACTCAACACAAACTAAGTCATTTCGGGACTAACAATAACATATGGTTCAATTTTATTTCAATAATTCGCTTGCGCGTAGGGGTCTTTAGCAGTGGGAGGAAACCGGAGGACCCGGAGAAAACCCATGAGATTGGCCAGGTGACCCTACTCCTTGTCAGGTGCAATCGAGGAATCTACACCACGCCAGATGACTCAATGACAGACCTTATGATAGTGTTTCTATTACATTGTTATGGATATCTTATCCTGGTGCGGTTGGATGGAGATGGTCTTGTTCATGCTCTTTAGATCATAAGGTCTGTTATAAATCTATATATTTACCACTACTTTTCAACATCTTTTAATCTCAGCCCAGGTTGTAGCATTTGGGATTTTCATTAAAACTTAGCAGGATTTTTTTGTTAGTTTTTTAAAGAGGAACTCCTTGAAAATTGAAGTACAAAAATTGATTTTTGCCAAGTCATGGCCCCTGTCTGTGTAATAGAATCCTTGTAAACACTCTACAGGAAACACAGTCTGTGGGATTGTTTTTGCAACCATTAAGAACTCCATATAGCCACATGGAGTCGCATCAAAACTCACAGAAATTTTGATCTCTTCAGCTAAACTAGGTATGAAAATATGGACATGTATGGACTAATAAAATGTGTTTCAAATGGGAGGATAAAAAATTCCCTTAAAAAATAAATGATTTCTGTATAAATTTTTAATAATCATCATACACAACAATTTAAAATAATCAAAACAATTGTTATATTTGTATATATTCATAATTTATAGTATTTGTGTATATGCTAACTAATATGTGACCTGCACTTCAATCATCACTTATTCATAACTTATTAAGCCCCACCCCATGCACCAACTGTATAGAGTGGGGGTCATATTCATAATGGCTGATTAGGGCTCTAGACATATTTTAACTTTAACCAATTAGCCCTAAGCCAGTTAAAGCAGCTTTGAAAATAATACTTTCAAAATAATACGTCAATTAAAGCTTACACCTAACCCATAATCAACATAGGAAATAATACATCCTTTTATCAAAGCTTTAATTAAAAATACAAGTTACTTATCCTAATCAACCAAGGCTGATTAGGGCTAACCATATTTTAACTTGAATGCTGTACACTTAAACACAGATAACCCTAATCAACGTTGGAAAAGACCTTCTCCCCTATTCAACAGAAGGCTCTCATTAGAGGTAAACATATGTACCGTACACTTACACAGATAGTCTTGAACAATCTAGGAATACAATACAGACTATTATCAATAAAGTCTTTATCAAAGATTTAATTAAGAATACAAGTTACTTTCCCTAATCAACTGGAAAAAAACATTGGACGGGTTTATAAAGACAAAAACAGTACAAAAATATAATTTCTTTGCCCTTGAAACAGGACTGTCTCATCATTTAATTGATTAGGTAATCATGGATTCATTATTTACAAAATTATCTATTTAAGCATCACAACAAACACACCAAGACAATAATAAACATAGATTTTGATTTTCTAATAATATTTGTAACAATATTCTCATCTACCGGTAATACATTCTAATGCATATTTGCTTGATCTCAGTCATTTTTGTACCCATTTGTAGAGGGAGCGAAATAGAGAAATGGGGTTTAAAATCCACTCTAAACAAACTAGGTTACTTCAGGATTAATACTTGGTACAATTTTATTTCAATACTTAATTTGTGTGTAGGGGTCTTTAGCCGTGGGAGAAGACCTGGGGACCTGGAGAAAAGCCATAGGGTTAGACAGGTGACCCTAATTCTTATCACTTACTAGTGGGGGATTGATACCGTGCCACTTGACATATTTCTCCTATCTACAGCTATATGAGAATGGACAATAATATACAAAAATTAACACAAAAAACATAAATTTTGATTCTCTACTTGACTTATGCATAGTATAATAAATTATGACTCACATTTCAATTAATACAATTGATTTTAAAGAAAGAATTAGATAAGACAGGCACAAAGAATCCACACATTAGAGTACAAGTATTGGTCTATGAATTAGGTCAAATTAGAATCAAACTTTGATAAATTTCTAATCGTACCAACAATACAAAAAGCTGAAACTCGGTTATCAAAAGTACAAGAATTCATAAACATTGTAAAAAAAAAGAGTATTTAATTGTGTTAATTTTTCTGATCTTAACAACAATACAAATAAAAGTGAAACTCTAGTTTTGAATGAGATTATGAGTAAATTTGAATAGATGTGAAATAAGTAATTTATAAAACACAATAAGGGTATATCACAACCTGGAATAATAGGACGGAATATAAACAATAAAATAAGGCCATACAAAAAAATATATTCTGGTTCTCAGTTAAGCCTACATCACTTCAAAAGGGCTTCCACTGTTTTTATCTCATCAATTACCTATTTTAAATTTCCTTTAACAAATATGCAACTATGATAAATGTTACCGGCAATCATAAATGATACATGATAATAGTACATTCCTGATAAACAGCATGATGTGATAAATGCAGCCCTGTAGTTATCCTTTGACAAAATAAAAACACAAAAATAAAAACCTCCCTCCTACATCAGAGGTTTGGTAAAGATTGTTCGAGAACCAAAATATTTTTTTTGTATATCCTAATATCACAATTATTATCCAGAGATTATATAACAATATAATAATAACAAGTAATACTTTGGTCCTAGTATAATCACAGTTAATTCATTCATTCTTATTCTACCTGAACATATAGTCAATGCATTCAAGAGACATTATGTAATATTTAGAGAAAGAGCTGGGGGTTCTTGCTCCATAGTTCAAAAATAGACAATGAAACATGAATATATTGAAAATTCCAGTCAAAATATTTTATTCTATGTGAAGATATGAATGGCTATGTTCATCAGGTTTTAAGCAGCAGATGTAATTAAATTTGTATTAAGCCAGAAAAACGCCCGGCAATAGGCAAATTTATTTCTCGCATAATGCCTCTTAAATATATCAACCAGCAGTAATTTAGAGGGAAAAAACATGTTCAGTAGTAAATTATAACAAATAATTTCACATATAATTAAATAACTTAAACTATGAAATTGTTTATATTACAATAAATTAATAAAGATTGTTAATTTTGATGTCTAGGTGATATATATGTACACAAAGAATATGTAAAGATAAATATATAGAATGGTTTACTAAGATTCCACTAAGTTTTAAAAAATAAGTTCCTTAAACTAAAGAAGAAGAAACAAAACTCTTTAATTGCCCATTGATTAAGAATACTTGTGTATTGCAAATTTTGCTTAACCCTTTATGTACCAGAGTAAAATAAAATGCAAATGACGTGAAAATACTGAAGCATATTCAATAAGGCTCATATCCATTCCTTTTAAAAGATTACATGCTTTGTTTATAAAAGGGTTGTAATACAATATAAACATATTGTAGATGCTGCAATTGTGACAGTAAGTTGCTAAAGTAATGGCATTCATTCAACCTTGAATTTCAATGTCAATTTTCTCCAAAACTTTAATTAGCTTGCAAGTCAATTTCAAAAGCCCATACAGAACCTGTAGCAGACGTTAAATTTATCTGGTTCTTAATGTCATCAAATGTAGCGGTGATCTAAATGATTTAATGGGTTGATTAATAAATATATGAATACCTGCAACTTAACGATATTTCATCATTAGATCATAGTCAAGATAGCTTTACACACCTTTTTGTTTTGTTTTTTTTAAAAAAACTGAGTTTGACACGAAAATCCCATCCCCTAACCTGATTATTTTAAAAAAATTATTCAGTTATTGTATAATACATGCTTTAGAAGTTTTTGTTGCTCCTCCATCATTTTTGTTGTTTGTATAGTTCTTCTGCGTTTTTCCTGCCGTTGCTCCATTTGATTCCAAACTCAGCATTTTTTCAATATCACTTATCTACAATCAAACAATAAAATCAATATAAAAATATGGATATGTTAATAAGACATTTTCTCAGTTTCGATCAGTGTGATAAACCAGGGACTGTCCAGGAATGGCCAACCTCTGGAGCATAAAATGGCACATTGGATTATCAGAAGTGGCGCATTGTATCAATAGGATAATAATAATAAAGTAAGCCTACTTTATAGGCTTCACAAACAACAACAAAAGAATACTCTTTATTTTTAGCGATTCTATTATTTCGTGCACACACATCTGTTTTTAGAGTATTAATCAAATTAGGAAAGACAGACTTTTGTAAATTGATATAGACAAGGGTATAAGGGTTGACTAAATTTGGTTTGCTTGTAATGCTATGGTAAGTCACAAAGATGATTTGTTTCTAGGAAATACTTATAACTCCTTATATTTATACTTTTTGAAACATTATCTATAAAACCCCTTTTTATTGACTTAGAAATATGACAAAAGATGAACGATGTGCAAGAATATTTGGATTCTGAAGAAGTAAGTAAATTTTGTAAAATATGCAAGACGAATAGATATAATACACAGTTTCATACAGTACAAGTAAACATTGTTCAATGTCATTTATGTAAGTCTTCAAAACACTGGAGTTATAACTTATAAATCAATATTACATGTACCATAATATATATTTTTACACATTATTAATTTATTTACTCAGCAACACTTTATATAGGGTGATTTTTTTTATCTTAGAAAAAGCACAAAAAGACGATTGAGCAATCAATCACAGCACAGCAGATAGTGAAATAAAAGAACTGTGGTTTAATATTCACTGAATTAGGTCAATTATGGACTAACTTATGGTACATCTATATTAACCCTTTGGCACTTGGTCCACATGTAACCAGTGCTCCTTAGATCATCCTAAACTGCCTGAACCACACAAATAGAACTAGTATATAAAGCCATGAAATAAGGCACCTGTCACTGACAATGTCAGGCACAAATTTGTTAGGCACTATTCATTTGATTCTAGCCATTTTGTCCAGTACAGATTAGTCTATTTTCTGTAGGATGTTAATAATGTCAGGTCCAACTAAAATCATTATTTCCAAGCCTGAATATATGCTCCAACACTATGGAGAGCTATTCACTCGGGCAGTCTAAGAACCACCATTTCAGACTATCCAGAGGTATACCAGTATGAACTATATCATTTTTTTCTAATTTTCTTAAAGGATTTCGGGTGATCAATATTAACATGTACCAAGTGCAAAGGGTTAATTTGAATATTTGTAAAAACTAAGAGGTAAGGCAAAAGCCCAAATTTTAATAAATACAAAAAAAAAGAAAATCAATTATTCATTGTAGGACATCTTTTGAAAAAGATTTCATAAAGAAAAAGAATTTAAAAATATGTATTTGATATTCAATTATTTATTTTATTTTTTTTTTGAAAAATAAAATTGAAGTAGAAGAATATAAAAGTTATGTCTCTAGTTTTAAGAATAAGGAAAACTACTTGTTGTTATGGTTGTTAGTAAAAGCAAGGCAAAGACAGTCACTTCATAAAAACATACTATATAGTTACAATAAATCCTTCCTATAGAATAGCACAAGTTGAACTACTCTTGTTGCCACGGTTACCAGGATGGTTTGCTAGTAACGCCTCTAGATCAGATGCCTGTTAAAATTAGTTTTAAAGGTAAGCACAATACTCCACAACCATTCAGAGAAATAAGAGCATAAGCATACTATTTATGCATAAAGTTAACACACGCTATATCACACTATAATTTATCTAATCTCAGAATACAGGGTTTGAAAGCTCTAATGCTTAAATTAGTCAGCTACCAAAACAAATTTGTTTACAGTAACTGATATTATAGTGATAAACAATGGACAATTGCAAATACTGGATTTAGAATTTCTAAATTGATATACTATATTTAAAATTCAGTATGATTAAAAGCTGATTTATGATGACAAATTATTCTGACTTGCATTGACTTATTGTAAGTTTAAATTGATTAGGCACAAAATATATTTTCTAATTTCTCCATAAACTAAAGTTCTATTGAATATATCAATAAATCAATTATAAAAGAGAATAACTCTAAACTTACCTGTATTGTCGTTTGTCCACTAGCTTTTGCTGAATCTAAAAATTCTTGAATCTTGTGCTAAAAAATTGTACATTGCGGTAAACATTATTTTGAATTAAAATATGAAGAGATTTTTTCCAAAATGTTTTAAGGACAATTAAAATCTCCAACTTTTTAAAACCGTATTTATGTTTTTTTACAACAAAATCACCACATGTACATTTTAAAAATTATAATTATGTAACCATGGAATCTCTACTGCATATTTTCTTTTAGACTTTGATCAAATTGTCAGGGTATTTCAACATGTCATGTATCTGTTAAATCGGAAAAGATTTAAATGAACTATACATCTCTAAAAGTTTATCATTCACAAATTAAAAACTAGTATGAGTCGATATATTAACTATATTCAGTAGTTGTTTAGTCAGCAAGTGAATTTGTATGTACTTTTACTATTTGATCAAATCGTTGGGGCATTTCAACATGCCATTTCTCTGCTAATACGGACTGCACTGATATGAACTATACATTTCCAAAAGTTTAATCATCTACAAATCAAAAAGTAGTACAAGTGGAAGAATTAAATATTTTGGGTAGTTAATTAGTCAGCCAGTGAACTTGGTAGACCACTGAAAACAACCATCCAACAAACAGTTTAATTCAAACAATATTTTATTCCATAAACTCCATCGGATTGAACAACAGGCAAAAAGAGATCCATCTAAACTTTATTTTACTTACAATTTTTGCTTCTTCCTTTTCTGCTTTCTTTTTATACATATTGACCTCCGACGCCGATTTGTATTTTTCTTCTTCCTATAAGTACCGATATATTTCAATCATGCACAGTCAACAATTGTTCAATATAAACCAGGATTTAGGAAATAGTTTTTACATCAAATTCTGTCATTTATCACGAAAATATAAGACAACAGAATACAATTTGAAATCTATATAGTGGTGGTTAGTTGTCCCAGGCAACTCTTGTAAAGCTACTTGTTTTGTTCTTTTGTGAACTCTTCGGTGACAATGTTTGGCAGGGGACACGAATACAGGTGACATCACTGGTGGACTGGAGTTGTTTTGCTTTCAGCAGACTCGCTGCTTCTGTGAACAGAAATGTGACTTAAGACTTGCCATAAAGAATACAACCAACTTGAAATTTAAATTATATCTTCACAACTTACCTCTTTAATCTTCTCATCTTTAGATACCTAAAATATTTAAATAAAAAAATTAAACTCAATTATTGTTTCAGCAGGTCATATCAGAACTGTAAAAAATTTATGGATTGTAACAGATTTGAAGTTTATGCGGTTAAGTTTGGTCTAGAGGATTCAATCTTTTTTAGGAATCCTTTTTGGGCTTTATTTTGACTGAGTAGTTCACTCTGATCTGATTACCACTACAATTTAACCTAATAGTTCCCTCAATCTTCAACAACTGGCTTTTGGTTATTGTTAACGTTGGATAAGAATTTTTTTAAAAGAATATGACAATTTTGAGGTATTTTTACACAAAAAATATAAATGTAAAATTAATAAAATCACTGAAAGGGTAAATGGTTAATTTTACTGCCAGTTAATCAAAACTGGTCAATATGTCTGAAATAAGAGTCCTGCTTCAACCTATCATGCTCATACAATTTATATGGAAATAACCTTACCGTAACAGTTGTAGGAGAATTTACTATTGTCTTTTCTCTCTTCATCAATGCTTTAGTTTTATTATTTTTATTATTCTTATTATTAGTGGAGGCTTTAGACGGCGAACTGTCACCTTTCTGCATGCCCCATATTTCTATGACCAGTGGACTGTTTGCTATATACTCAATTAACTAAAATAAACAACATATTTAGAAATATAATATCTGTAACCTCATTATATAGAACGGGCCACACTGTATCTAAATCTTACATAATGCATCCTTAATTTTAGTTCTTGATGACTGATTATATATAACTGTTTGCAAAAACTATACTAAGTGATAAACAATGCAGTCTTCATTTATAAGCCAATGTTTCCCATATTTTTAAAACTATAAACATATGTTAAATACTTTACACATGCACCATTTCCAATATCATGTAGACAGATATTCTATCTATTTTTAAGAGTAAAATAAAATGGGGCTTAACGTCCTACTGTTCTGCTCAGAAGACAGGCATACAGTGTGCTATGAGGGAAATTTTGCCCAGACAGTGGTGCTATGGCCTACTCTTATGTCGAATTCCAACAGCCAAGGGTTCTTTTAAGTGCACGATAACATGTGTACACTGGACCTTGAATTTTCGTCCCTTGCCAGACTCTCTGTCCTGCACCACTGATATGGTTGAACAGTGCCAGAAAATCCCAATGAAGTTTTTAAGAGCAATGGATACGTTTTAATTATGACTAACATTATAAAACTAATATTATAAGCTCTTTTAAATACAATGTAGTATTCTATTCAATTTAAATAAGGTTACGCATTATTTTTCAGAATGCGAGTTTCAGTAAATCTGGCTCCAAACACACCTATGTTTTGATGTTTCACTATCATCATATACAGGTAGATCTTATATAATCAATGAAAACACTATTATACCTGTTTAGTAACATCTAATTGATATTTCTTCTCATGTCCAAAATCTGGATTGATTGTCCCCGAAACAACTTGTGTCTGAACATTTTTATCTTCTAAATAAAACTTATATCGACAAAAACTCTGAAATAATATAAAATAGCAAATATAAATCACAAATGAAGTCTCGAAATGAAGTGTCTCTCCCATTACTTCAATATACAAGGTCTTCTAAGTTTTAGTGTACTAATACGGTGTATTGTATATTAGTTAATAGATTCAGTGTATTGGTTTTCTGATTTGGTGTATTGTGTATACTACTCATGAACACATTTAAAAGTTGCACATTTGATCCCTTTCAAACTAACAACATACATGTGATCAATAAGGACGAGGACTGAAATTGGTGATAAATTGTTGATGATGGCATGTAATATACATTTTGGGTAGCTAATGGAATATGTTTGATAATGCCATCAAATTTGGTATTTTATCTGATGAAATATTCTCTAAACAATAACATAATAACGATATTAATTGGCACCAATAATTGGTAATTCAACACTCACCTGTACAAATCTTTGAGGTAGACCTCTAGCAAATGGAATCTTTAGTTTAAAATAAATCTTCTTACCAACCTTAAATTAAATAAATGATGATGTTTCAACATAATTATATGTAATAATCAGTGGGGGACCATTACAGTGATGCTAATTTTCTTACAGATTCAATCTCAAAATAAACAGACGACACGCATTAATTACTTGCATATTTATCTTTTTATTAGTAATCAAATTGTTCATCACACTGCTTACAAAATGTTCATTGTTGAACTTATATTAGTTACAGTACTGATGCAATAAACAAAGACACCAAGTGTCACCCCTCCCCCTCAAATGGTAGCAGAGTTAATGTGTTATAAAGTCTCAGCCAATCAAATTTCTTAGCTTGAGAACAAAATTCCCAATCAATTTCTTAGCTTGAGAACAAAATTCCCATTACAATCATTCACCTAAAGAACAGCTACACCAAATTTGAACATCATGGCTCAAGCAGATTTATAGTTTCCCCAAATGAGCGACAAATGGACAGTTTGTGCGTAAAAGTAGGATGTTAAACTTGTTTCATTTCATATCTTTCCTCACATCATGACTTACCAATTCAGCTGGATTATCAACAAAATAGTCTTCCTCTATATTGTCCCATTTCTCACTACATGGTTGTACCTCTACAGTTAAATGACCTTTAAACAAAAATCAAAATTAGCATAATAGTTAAATAAGTTCAAAACATCTGATCTCCACATGCGTGAATTAATGGAACAAGTTTGAGTATGACAACCCTGTGGGTTTCGTCAAGTTATGGTAATAAACAGCTTATTACAGTCATGAACTGTTTCTTTCGGAAACAAACTAACTGTCCATTTGAAGAGATGAGACTCTGAAAACCATGAGGCTAAAGGGGCATTATGTATGATTTAGATGAGGAACTGGTAGTTCTCCTTATATTTTAAAAATAGATAATGTTAAATGAATATATTTAAAATTATATTCAAATTGCTTTATTTTGAGCAAAGTTATCAATGTTTGCAGTTTTAACAAGATATTTGATTGATCATAACCACCGTACTGGTCATTCGAGTCTTAGCCTTGCTTCTCCATTTTTAAATTGAATAATTAAATGGCTGAACCATTCTAATCTACTTAAAATCAGAACCATCCGATGGCATTGAGAGTTGATTATGGTCTGGTCATGTTAATAAATGTTTAATTAATAGTTTATATAACATTTAAGGCCCAAAGAAAGACCTGCAATAGGCTGATTTTTCTCTTAAATAATGCCTGTTTAATCATATTTCAATCTAATTAGAAGTTCTTGAAATTTAATCTGGTTTCGGGAATGCAAATCACTATATTTTTCTACAAATCTATCAATATGGTGTCAAATCATGATACCAGCGGCTGCCAGGCAGGATACGCCCACATTTTCGATAGATGGATAGAGAACAAGCTAAAAAGAAAGTGATTTTTCCTACAATCAAGGGCCATAATTCAAGAAATTACAATTCGATATGCGCCAACATCGAAAGGAACCGAGATCTTTGTGTTATAAACTTACAAATAAAAATTGTGACCTCTATTAGTAAGTGCAGGGGAACAAGCTAAAAACGCGATTTTTCTTACAATCAGGGGCCATAATTCAGGAAGTTACGGTCCAATATTATTATTATTATTATATGCGAGAATATTGAAAGGAACCGAGATCTTTGGGTTATAAACTTACAATTCAAGTTTCAACAAAATCGGATTAAAATTGTTACCACTATAGGGTCCACAACCTTGATATACCATATTTTTACGCTATTTGAGAACGAGCGGTGGCCATTTTGTCTGTCAATTTTGGGCCGATTTTCATGAAATTCGAACTCAGCGGTCCTTGGGGTGTAACGGTGATATAATAATATGGTTTTTTAAATCGGATAAAAATCATGACCTCTATAGTGTCCACAAGCTAAAAACGAGATTTTCAGGGGCCATAATTCAGGAAGTTACGGTCCGATATGCACGAATATCGAAAGGAACCAAGATCTTTGGGTTATAAACTTACATTTCAAGTTTCAACAAAATCTGATAAAAATTGTGACCTCTATTGGGTCCACAAGCTAAAAAAGTGATTTTTCGTACAAACAGGGGCCATAATCCATGAAGTTTCGATCCAATACATGCCAATATCAAAGGCAGCCGAGGTCTTTTGGAGATAAACCTATATTTCAAGTGTCGTCAAAATCGGATAAGAATTGTGACCTGTAGAGCGTCCACAAACAAATTGTGGACGGACGGACGTCCGGACCGATAGGGGCGACGACAATATACGTCCACATGAAAATGTGGGCGTATAAAAACTACTAACATCCTGATAAACCCATTCTCAAAATACGATGGATTTTTTGTTGAGTTAAAGTTTACCTTGTTCCACTCCCTTGTAATCAGCAATGGCCAGATTTTCCTGCAGTTCAATCATATAACCTAACGACTGTAAGTAAACATGGACAGTACCGATCAACGTCTCTGTATCAGCTGGCTCCCAGAATGGATCTCTTTCCTGGTAAAATAACAAATATATAGAAATTAGATTCAAATTAGCTTTACTTTTTTTTACCAAGCACTCACTCCCAACAAACTTTGTTAAGCTGTGTCAAAAATCCAAACAGATACTTGTCAATATCATACCCATGACGTGTATCAAACAGTAGCATCTTATTACATGTCAAGTGTTTTCTGGCAACTCAGATTGAAGGGACCTGAGTTTTTAAACATCTTATAAGATGCTTATGGGTATCTAGCATCAATTTCATTATAGCCAGAAGATATTATCACATAAAGTAATGCAATTTGGAAATATGACAAGCACATTTCATTCATGCTCCAAACTAAATCGTGATATTAATCCTGTAAAATTAATTGTGCTTGATAACAATGAAAGGATAATTATCGAAATGTCATGCTTGTATAGTAAACCAGTGACTGTTGTCCTATATAACTTGTTTGTTTTGTTATGTTTCCAATCGACAAATTCCATTAATTGATTTACTACTACTATTAAAAACAAATTAAGATAAATATGTGTTTGGGAAGAAAACTGTAGACAGGCTATCCCAAACTATTTTCCAATATAATCAAGCTCTTTGATTTACCTTAGGTACATCCCAGTCTGCATCTCCTTGCATAAAATTTGCATACATTTCTTGCATGAGATATTTTCTATTAATAAAATCATTTCTAGAAAACATCCATTCATTTTCATTCTCCATATTCCTCATCTTAACCATTACCTTTAAATATACCAAAATGATATCAATTAAATAAAAATATCAATCACATAAAACATATTAGGCAATATCAATCTACTTTATTTGAACAAATCTGAATATGCATAGGTCAACTAAAATACCTACCAAATTTGGCTGCAGTAATTCAAGCAAAATATGAGAAAAAGACTAAATCAGCAGCATTAAGACAAGATGCCCCTGCCTTGCCACCAACACAACACAACTTTAAATAAGCACCACATAATTAAGTCAAATCCCTACCGAATTTAAACGAAATCCTTTAGGGGAAAATTTCCAAAGGGTACGGTAACAGACAGACAGGAGGTTTGGCTCAAGCCCATTAAATTGTTGGATGAAATTATCTAGATGAAAAAGAGTAACAGATTGTTGAATGGAATTATCTTGTTGAAAAACTTACCTCTGTTTTGCCATCTTGAACACCACGAGCTTGTGAAGATACTAAAGCTATTTCAAATATAACTTTTTTATCCAATTCTTCAGACATGGCATTAGCTTCATTGATCATAGGTAATAACTGAATTAAATCTTCTTGTAATAACAAATCCTCTACAAAATAAATAAACAATAACAATAACATCCTGTTTTCATAATAACACAACTCTATGGATTTACTACTCCTTGGTTTATTACATGCAACGTTTCAATACTCTTACAGGTATCTTTATCAAGCAATGTTTATTTGTTTAAAGTGGAAATATGATAGCTATAAAAAATCACGTTAAGAAAAATTGATTGTTGTTTTAATTGAATTTGTTTGTTTTAACTGTATGATTTTGTTTTAACCATTGTGTGTTAAAAATAATATTCCCTTTTTATTTAAATTCATTGAATGTGAACAAGTTTAACATTGATATATATAAAATATTTTTACCTTTTGATTTTCCATCAGCCCCTCCAATATCTTTCATCAATCCAGATTTTTGAGCAATTTCTTCTTGAGCTGAATCATAAGTTGGTGTTTCTATCTTAATTCCTTCTTTAAGCTGCTTTTCCAGTTCTTGTGGATGATGGAAAGCAAACAGTAAATTTGACCCGAACATAACTCTGAAGTAAAACAAGGAATAAAACATTAGAATACTTTGTGTTATGTGAGATGTTATATCGTGTTATGTGAGAGGTTATATCGTGTTGTGTAAGAGGTTATATCGTGTTGTGTGAGAGGTGATATTGTGTGTGTTATGTGAGAGGTTATACTGTGTTCTGTGTATGAGATAAGGATCCTTTTAATATACTACAAACATACAGCCAATATTAAAAAAAATATAACCTTGGCATAACTCAAAATCCAAACTATATTGATAGATTTAATCACAATTTCTCTTATTTGCATTCCATCTTCTTTTTCAATTGGTAGCCAAAAGTTTTCAATATGGTTTCCAGTTGTCAGTAGGACAGAAAAGTAGGACTTGAAACTGAATTTCATTTCATTTCCTTTCTGTGTCAGTTTCGTAAGCCATACTAGTTTCTTTCAGTAAACCTTATACAACATCCCACCACATTTTCTGGAAACAACTTTTTGGTAAAACAAAATGTGTGAGGTATAATAAATAACTTACCTATCATTATGGTGTAAAGTTGTCTCCGATTTAATCTCCTGTCCATTAACCATGACTTTAGCTGACACTTGTGGTCGTATTTTAACTGTGTTATTTTTATTGATGATTATAGCATGTTCTTTTTGTATACTGTCAACACATTAAATTTGGCATTATTTACAGAATAAATGTTACATCACACAATTTCTTGTATGTAAAAAGGTTAGAGAGAGAGAGAGAGAGAGAGAGAGAGAGAGAGAGAGGGAGGGTTTAAAGTCCACTCGACACAAACTAGGTCATTTCGGGACTAACATATGGTTTAATTTTATTTCAATAATTCGCTTGCGCGTAGGGGTCTTTAGCAGTGGGAGGAAACCGGAGGACCCGAAGAAAACCCATAAGGTTGGACAGGCGACCCTACTCCTTGTCACGTACAACCGGGGATTCGAAACCACACCAGTTGACTCAATGACAGGCTTTATGATACAGCGTGCACATGCTAACCATTCAACCATCCAACCCTCCCAAAAAGGTAACAGATTCAGGTGATTTTAAATTCTGGACACAACATAAAAATAACTAGTGTCTATATTTATTGTGTATGGATTATATAAATTCAAGACTGTGTCTAATCAATAGAAGGGTGAAAGAATCCCTGTACAGTGCAGGTAAGATTAGATCTCAGTCACACGATTTGGGACCAAAATAAGATATAAATAAAGTATAGGTAAAATTCTTTGTGACCTGTTAAAAATGCATGGTCATTCTTCCATTTGTACGATTTTTCTGACTGTCTCAGCATGATACTTTACATTCCAATCCAGGCACATTAAAACAAGATGGACAAAAAAACCTGACAAATTCTTTGTGATGATTTTCAGCCCAAGAATTGAACCTAACAACAGTAATTATATATTCATAATATATCAACTAACCTTAAACCATTTAATAAAATTTCTGGGGCTGGATCAGCTTTTCGATTACCTATTTTTGATTCTCCTAAAAAACAACATAAAAACAAATGGATAAAAAAAAAGGAATGAATTGTCTGATGTTAATTATCTGTTGATGTTGGTTAAGACAGTTTTATTTTCATTTAGCCATTGTTGCACAAGAAAGTTCCACTGGATTGTCCGGCATGGTTTCCCCTTCTCACTGGTGTAGGAGGGGACTGTCATAGATTGCTATCCAGTCAACACTGGGGTACCGGTACCATGAATTTAAAAATAGAAATATAACTCTTACATAGCATTTTTTAAAACAACGTATATATAATGACATGTAGAATATATAAAGATAAATATAGAGGTTTAATCATCAAAATTTACCTGCTCGACAAAAATGAATGATCATGCGGGTAAGGGCAGGATCCTCATTCAAATTCCAGAAATGGGGTGTAGTTTTCATGTCTTCATGTTCTTTGTTTTCTTGTGCCATACCAGCCTAAAAATAATACATAAACAAACAATGCACCATGTTTACTAAATGAAATGTGTCATATAAATTACAACTTTAGGCCATATAAAAAAAAACAATATTCTGGTTCTCAGATTAACCCACATCACTTCAAAAGGGCCGCATGACTTGTTTTTATTTATTACATTATTTTCCAAACATAAATATTGTACCTCGATTACAGGAAATAAATCTATAAAAAAAATTTGAATACATCCATGGGCTCATTTATCAAGTACACAACTCTGATAAATGTTATGACAATCATAAATGATACTGGATAATCATACATTCCTATAAGCAACGTGATGTGATAAATGCAGTCATTTAGCCCAGTGGTGATCTTTTGACAAAATTAAAAACACAAAAATAAAAAGCTCCAGCCCACATCAGATGTTTGGTAAAAGATTGTCTGAAAACAAGAATATTTTTATGTATCGCCTTAGATTTTAGGAAACAAGTTTATCTGAAAAATCTTAAAATTTTAATTGAAAGACAAGCCAACAGTGAGGCTGATGTCCCCCGCCGAAATAGGAAAATAATTAGAGAGTTATTGTGTTCCAAAGTCTCAGCAAATCAAATTGCTTATCGCTCTGCTTAATCTGAGCAGAAAATGCTCATTATCGATCTTAGTCAAGGTATTACTGTAATGAAACTATACACCAAGTTTCATCACTCTCACTTAATTAGAACTAAAGTTATAGTGTCCCAAAGCATCAACCAATCAAATTGTTTATCTCTGCTTACCCTAAGCGGAACGGACAGACAAACAGACAGACGGACGAACCCATTTTAATAGTTCCCTGCTTTCTTCGAAAGGCGGGGGACAATAAGCATGAACATTTACTCAATTCGAAGATCAACCAATCAAATTGTTTATCTCTGCTTACCATAAGCGGAACGGACAGACAGACAAACAGACAGACGGACGAACACATTTTAATAGTTCCCTGCTTTCTTCGAAAGGCGGGGGACAATCAAAGTAGGAGAGTTATTGTTTTCCAAAGTCTCGACCAATCAAATTGCGTATCGCTCTGCTTACCCTGAGCAGAAAATGCTCATTATCAAACTTAGTCAAGGTATTACTGTAATGAAACTATACACCAAGTTTCATCAATCTCACTTAATTAGAACTAAAGTTATCGTGTCCCAAAGCATCAACCAATCAAATTGCTTATCTCTGCTTACCCTAAGCTGAAAATGCTCATCTTCGAACTCCATCAAGGCATTGACCTAATCAACACATACACCAAGTTTGAACATTCTAGCTCAATTAGGAAGAGAGTTATCGTGCCCCAAAGTATCAACCAATCAAATTGCTTATCTCTGCTTACCCTAAGCGGAAAATGCTCATCTTCGAACTCCATCAAGGCATTGACCTAATAAACACATACACCAAGTTTGAACATTCTAGCTCAATTAAAAGTTATCGTGTCCCAAAGCATCAACCAATCAAATTGCTTATCTCTGCTTACCCTAAGCGGAAAATGCTCATCTTCGAACTCCATCAAAGCATTGACCTAATCAACACATACACCAAGTTTGAACATTCTAGCCCAATTAGGAAGAGAGTTATCGTGTCCCAAAGCATCAACCAATCAAATTGCTTATCTCTGCTTACCCTAAGCGGAAAATGCTCATCTTCGAACTCCATCAAGGCATTGACCTAATAAACACATACACCAAGTTTGAACATTCTAGCTCAATTAGGAAGAGAGTTATTGTGTCCCAAAAAGTGTGACGGACAGACAGACGGACAGACAGAAGGACAGACAGACGGACAGACAGACAGACAGACAGACAGACAGACGGACGAACCCATTTTAATAGTCCCCTGCTTTCTTCGAAAGGCGGGGGACAATAAAGATCAATGATAATATACTATCATTAATTCTGCAATTTAATTAGAATATTGGGTCGCTGAAATCAAAAGTAAACAATGTTCCCAGAAATTTCAAGACTAACATGGTACAATTTTATTTCAATAATTTGCTTGTGTATAGCAGTGAGAAGAAACTGAAGGACCCAGAGAAAACCCACAAGGTTCTCAAGTACAAGCTTATGATCTAAACCACACCACTTTGACAGACCTTATGATATAAAGTGTATGTGTTAGCCTATTAAATAGAAAGAGATAAATAACTACCATAGTTTGTTGTTGTCCTTCCTGCATTTTTTCTGCCCAAGATTTCTTCATATCTTCTAATTCTTGTGCATTTTGTCTGACTTGCTCTTCCAAAGCTCTCTTCATTTCGGCTACCTCTGTTAATTGATAAGTCATCAAATTAATATTGCTACAGATATTTTTTGAGTGTTATAGAAAAAGAATATTCATGTTTCTTCTACTCTGCATAACCGATAAATTTATTTCTATCTTAAAAAAAGATTCCTTCAGTGAAGAATTAAGTCCTAATTAATTTCAATAAAGAGTTTATTTAATCTGATTGAAGTCCTAATTAATTTCAATAAGGAGTTTATTTCATCCATTTGTGTATATTTATAATGTCACTGAGCACAAGGCCCAATACATGAGAGGTGTACAATCAAGGAGTTGGCCTCAGACATCACCGAACTTCAAGAGTAGGGAGAGAGAAACAAATGGGATTTAGCAACCACTTGACAGAAACTAGGTAATTTCTGGACTAATACATAGTACATATTTTTTTCAATAATTGACTTGCACTAAGGGGTCATTAGCAATGGGAGGAAACCGGAGTACCTGGAGAAAGCCCACGAAGTTGGGCAGTTAACCCTACTATTTGTCATGTATAAGCGTTGCGACTGAAACCATGGCACTTATCTCAATGACAGACCTGGTGATCTAAAGCCTACACATTAGACCATTCAGCCACCCCCCCCCCCCCCCCCCCCGATCAGGAGTAGGAATATTCTTCTGTCCAAGCTGCTCAGCTATCGCAACTGTCAGCTTTTAAGTGACACATGTTGAATAAATTATATTTGAATGAAATTTACCATCCTCCGAATATCCACTTTTTTCTTGACCACCACCGCCCATTTCTAAAGAAGCCCCTCCTCCACCAGATTTTAACATATCCATTAATCTTTGATTTTCTTCTCTTAATTCTCGGATCAACTTGTCTGTGGGACTTTCATTAACAATAGCAGATGTTTTGATAGCCTTCGCTCTATCAGCTGAAATGAGAAATTTAACAAATAAGTATTTAGAAATAAGGATTTGATGCTTTACGGATGAGTAATTTTAGTCTTTTAATATCATATTTGCTTTCATCTGTTTGCAAATTGATAACTTTTACAAATTTACATAGGACTGCAATCTAGTACACTGTTGAATATTAAAGACAATTAGTGATACATATTTTAGTAGATAAATCCGTCCTTAAAGCAAATTTAAAATGGAATAAAAAAAATTCAAATAAATCAATACCTCGTTTACTACTACGATTCGTTTTCAAAAACTCAAAATAATTTGAATAACAAATGAAAAGGGTAATTACCAAATCTAAGAGTCGAAAGTGTTTCTTCATAATTGATGTCTGCAGGACTCAAAGCAGCAATCTACAACCAAATAAAATATACTCTTTATTGTAACACTCATAATGATAACCAAGTTTCAAAATTTTCCTTTAAACATTTAATTCTAATGAACAATAACATTGAATATGACTGATCAGTGATTTGAATTAAAATATGAATAACATACCATGACAGTTTTACTGTTTCCACCCAGAGCATTTTGTAATAGTTTGGTTAAAACTGAATCACGAAATGGTACTGTAAAAAATAAAACAGGCATTCTTTAATAGCTCTCTTTACAGATTTCTGGAACATGTAATGTCAGGCTTGATAACCATTTTGTTAAAAAGAAACCATGTCTTCAAATGATTGATAATAACAAATGACCTAAAGATGCATTATGTACAAGCTAAATCTGCCTATTGCAGGTCTCTCTTCTAGCTTCAATTGTTATATAAAATATTATTTAGACATTTATTCACATAATGCATCATACAGAATGCACCTTTAAGAATTGGTGAGATCTTCAAAATCATAATATTATACTAGACTTATCATTCAACATCTTGATTGACATCAATTGTAGTTTAGGTGTTCCTTTATTTTATTCATGACCTCAAAAAAATTGTTCAACTACAACTATATGGTCTAAGGGGAGATAATATTGCGTTTAGATCATATTACAGAGTTGTGCCCCTTTATTACATATTGGTATAATTGGCCCTTGCAGATGAATGGTTGTGTCAATGCCTCTGATCGACAGCTCTGTTTCATTGGTTGGAGAAAGAAGACTACAGCTCGATAGAAAATGACATATATTTTATCAATGACGTAATGAACATTAAAAAATATGCACAATATTACCAAACCCTTCGAAGCTGGGGTGCTGAAATCCACCGCTGTTTTAAATTGTAGAAAACATATTATTTTTAATAAAGAAAATCAATTTAGCTTACCAACAACTTTTTTCTTGCCCTGTGATATATCAGCTAAAGCTTTAATACAGTTACCAAGAGAACTGAGAGATTGATTTATAGCTGAACCTTCCTTTAACCTATCACCCGTAGCTCCAGTAGATTCTGCTCTTTCACTAAAATAAATAACATTCAAATAATACTTCTCTATTGAAATTTACAAAAAAAAGAAGGGATAAGGATAAAAAAAAAAACCCTTTACCAAATATTTCTAACATCTAAGCAGCATCAGATACATATAGGAATCAAATCAAAACCCTTTTTGCCCCAACCACAAAAATTGTCACCATTCATTTATAAAATGATTTTCTTATTACATATAGGTCTCTTATACTGCCAGTAGGACATATTAACATGTGTTTACAGTTACAATGAGTAAATCACACGTGTTCTGTGACATGAAATTTTACATCCCTAGTCAAATACACTCAGACATCAAAATAAAGACGGGCATATTTTGAGACGACATTGTTTTTTTCACCTGTTCTTTATCGAATTCCATCTGTCAAGTTTTCTTTAACATGCATGCCTAGCTGTTCATGGGACCTTCTTTTTTCCATCCCATCTGAATGACTAGACACTGTTCTTGCATCATTGGCAATATCGAGATCACTCCCCCAAGAAATAGGAAGCAGAATTAAATGCTTGTTCCAAAAGAACAGAAATTCAAATCGGTGTAGCCTTTTCACTACAATCAATATTTTCACACACCTTCATGTTAGAAATTGTATATATGTATATTTTTTATGTTAATTAAGTATAGTATTTACCTGCCAGCTAAATCAACTAAGTTTATAACAGAGGTTTTTGTCATATTCTGTCCTGCTTCATTAGATGATTTCTGTACGAATGATACGGCTACAATAGTGTGAGCTCGACTGAAATAAAAGTAATAGATTACGGTAATAGTCAAAAATCGTCACCCTATTTAATAGATATTGAACGCCTTGATGAGAAGGCATGCTCAAAAACTCTTCATTCCGTTCCACAGATTGCTTAGTTGTTCCTCCATGCGTAGGCGATTTCTCATTAAAATCTATTTTAGAGAATGCAGTCATACATGGATTTACGACATACAGTTTGCTATGAGCTAAATGTTGCCTGAAAAGCAACTGAATTCCAATTGTCAATGTTAAAATGTTATTTACGTTATGCACTTCTCAAAGTCTGATCCCAATGTTACTTGATTTCACTTCCAATATAAATTTATCCATCACATCTGTGCCTGATTATTATCAAGGAGGATAACTCTGCTGTAATATTTGTACTCTTTAAAAAAAAAAAAAATTTGAATGTACCTGCTAGTTGCATTCATGTTGGTAGAAGCCACAGTACGATTTCTAGTACCCTCGTTAATCTTGTTGTTAATTTCATCATAACTATCAACTGGCCAGTTTGACTGAGATTCAACTGAAAATTATAGAACAGAATCGATAATTCAAGGAACATTTTCAAGGATTCTACTTGTTTTAAAACTGGATAACAGTAAGGCTAATTTCCCTTGCCTTAATACTAAAATAAAAGACACTCATACTTGCACATTTTTTCTTTTATAAAGCTTCAAGCAATCAAATTGCTTATCACTCTGCTTCACTTAGCAGAAAATGCTTGTTATGAATAATACAGCTTGTCTTGATTACATGTAAATGAATAAACTTTGAGTCTATGCCTTAGTGAGTCTAAGAAAGTTTTATTTCCTAGCGACTTTGTCAAACTAACGTACAGTACACCAATATTCTATGGTTCCATTATCTGCAGGGGAGTGAATCCTGAAGAATCTTTCCACTTCTAAGCACATTATCCAAGCATGTAATACACGCTTTGTTAAATTTAGCCTAAATGATTTGTTTCCTTAATATACTACTAGCAGATGATCCAGCGCTGCATGGGTTGTGCCTATAACTCCGAAACAGGTAGTGGTAGAGAGAGAGAAATGGGGTTTAACGTCCAATCGGCACAAACTAGGTTATTTCAGGACTTACACATGGTTAAAATTTTCTTCAATAATTCGCTTGCGCGTAGGGGACTTTAGGAGTGGGACAAAACCGGAAGACCTGGAGAAAACCCATGAGGCTGGACAGGTGACTCTACTCCTTGTCAAGTACAACTGGGGAATCGAAGAGAGAGAGAGAGAGAGAGAGAAATGGGGTTTAACATCCACTCGACACAAACTAGGTCATTTCGGGACTAACATATGGTTTAATTTTATTTCAATAATTCGCTTGCGCGTAGGGGTCTTTAGCAGTGGGAGGAAATTGGAGGACCGGGAGAAAACCCACGAGGCTGGATCGGGGAATTGAAACCACGGCAGTTGACCCAATGACAGACCTTATGACAGCTTGCACGTGCTAACCATTCGGCTATCCAACCCCCACCCCCATTTTACTCCCCAGTCCGTGCTACCCCTATACATCAAATTTATGTCTCGAAACAGCCCTAGTGTAGCCCTGAGCAGATAGACAAACGTCAGTAACAAATATTATTATAAATAGTCACGCTTGTTGACTTAGCAAACTTGTGGGGCTGAATGTTTTAATGTGCTGTTATTGAGCCATGTGGCATGGTTTCGATCCTGTGCTTGTAGTATGTGACAAGGAGTAGGGTTACCTGCCTAACCTAGTGTTTTGTATTGGGTTGTTTTTTTTTCGGATCCTCCGGTTCCTTTCCTAAGTGCTCGAGAATTAATGAAATAAATTGTATGATATCTTAGTCCCAAAATAACCTACTTTGTGCTAAGTGGAAGTTAAACACCATTTCTTTATATTTACTTACCATAAAATCCTTTAGTTGGATGCTGTCGAACTTTCAAACCACCTTTCTGTAGAGTTTTGAGATTCAATAAATCACGTACTTGTTCATTGTAGATTTCCAACATAGATAATGTTACCTGACAATAATGAAGAATTAAATATTTATAAAAAAACAAATAAATATTGAATAACAGAATGTTGATATGGCATTATGGTTATAAAAGGGGCAGGGCTGGCGTACATGGCTTTGAGGCTACATTTAAATTCAATAAATTTAGTTGGGGAACATGTATCTGAAACTAAATTCCTCTCAGTATAGAACACTGTTCTTAATTGGCTAATTTTTGTCAGCTTTATTACATATTAAATAATTCTTATAATGTACTTTTAGGGGGTGGGGGTAGGGTCATCCACCTGGATCCGCTACTGATCATATGGTAGAAAGTGGGCTAATTGATTTTCTGAATAGGAGATTTTTAAGATACTACATGTACATTCTGAATCTTACCTGGTACTCTTCATCTTTCACAGCAGATTCCCGCTTTGCAGTAATTCCCCGAAACAGATCTTCACATGCCAGTGGTACAATACCTTTGTTGACACCATATCCTACCATAGAATAAGATTTACCACTACCAGTTTGACCATAGGCAAATAACGAACAGTTATATCCTTTCCATGCATTATCCAATACACCTTTACCTAAATCTTCAAACACTTTTTGCTGAAATAAGAAACAAGCAGATTAGAGATAAGAAAAATTTAATTTGAAATATTACTTAGTCAAAACTTTAATAATATCGAACCCCCCCCCCCCCAAAAAAAAATTATTCAACAATCAACCACTCTTCACTAAACAGATACATGTACAGCATGTATAGTCTGATGAAATGGCTTTATGGTAATTATAGCATAATACAATGTACATGTATACACTAGGAAATATTCTCGGCTTGATTAGATATAATTTTTTCTTTAGTGTGATTAAATTAATAATTCAATGGTTTAACTGAGAATTCTATATTGCAGGAAATGGACTGTCACGTCATAAAGAGTTTCTGCACCAGACTTCACTCCCAGAAAAATGTCACAGACCTTCTATTAATTGTTGCTAAAATCAGGTGAAAACACAACCTTAAAGATGGGTTCCGCGTATAAACTGGGTGATTTAATAGTATATATGGACTAAAAACATATTCAAACTAATTAATTTGTCATAATTTTGCTTCAAATCCTTCTCAAACATTGTAATTGCGAAGGAATGTCCTGCTATAAAAATCTGATCAAACCAGGTCATGTTTACGTCACGTGACTTACCACTCTTGGAAGTCAGAGGAGAATTCATTGCATACATAAGACGATGTTGTCTTTAATCGCTTACTATTTATTACAAATATCGAATCCTAATTAAATTCTCAGATTAAACACTACCCGCGTCTTTTTCCGTCATTTTTATCTCAGAAAGTGTTGTACGTCTAACTCTTCATCAAGTTTATCAACTTGTACATCAAGCGCTCAATGTTCTCTTTGGACCTTTGACATCACGCGTGCAAAAATTTCTAATCGTCGGGCTGTTGATTAGGGGAACCCTTACATTTTTGTCCTGTATACGCTCCATGAGGTTTTTTCGGGGAATCCAGTATTTTTCTAGTAAGATTGGATATCTCTACTTTCCATATATACCAAAATTGTCATATTTTTACTGGAAATAACCACCTGATAAATACTTTTCTGGGAACCCATCTTTAATGTCTCAGTGAATCATTTGCAATTTTCCGAAAAATTAACATTTAATTAAGAAAACAAAAGGTAATCTACCGGTTTGAAGTCAATTGGATTAAAAAGAGGCCCATCAAAAAATTTTAGATAAGTTTATAGTCATAGGTGACACTAGCTTGCTTTGACTATATTTTCCTCATTGTCTGTGGAGGACGCTAAATGTTGAAAAATTTTCAATTCAATATATCTTTGTAAATACTGAATGGAACTGGACCATTTTTGGACGCAGATATTCCTTTAGAGATTCAACTTTCACAGTATTGTAGTTCGGGATTAATAGATTATTGGTAGATAAATATATTCACAGCCCAAGTTTATTTAATAATATCAAACCATTAATAATCAATTAGTAACAGGATAGAGCAATAAACTATGTATAATGCATACTGATGGAAATAGCTGACATTTCAAAGAATACTATTCTCTCAATGTACATGTAAGTTCGAGGACCGGAAAAGCTATTTAAGATAACGTAAGGTATTATCATTATTTGTTACAATGTCGACTTATAGTGGCCTAATAGAACTTATGGTCTCAAGAATCACCAATAAAAATAACAAAAAGGTCAGGACAATATAATTATTGATTCAGATATAGAATCAATACCAGTAACAATGTCCTCTTACAGCTCTCTCCTGTGTAACTATCTTTTCAATATTTCATTATTCATCAAAACTAACTTCCAAATAGGTATTGATTACGGACTTAAGTCCATTTTAGCATGGGAATTCAGCTGTGAAAAATTAGATATTTTCTGAAAAGTGGGTTGGGTGGCCGAAGGGTCTAATAATAATATATGAAATTCAGATCATAACATATGTCATTGAGTCAAGTTTCATGGTTTCGATCCCACGATCTGCCTAATTTTGTGGGTGTGGGTTTCCTCCCACTGCTAAAGAGTAAAGAGCACTATGTGCAAGTAAACTGTTGAAATTAAATTGTACCATAATGTTACCCTAGTTTATGCTAAATCGTTTTCAATAGAAAGCTTGATCTCTCTTTAACTCTGTACATCTTATCAAGCCCTTCGTGTAATACCTTGCATATTTCGGCACTAATTTCGATTGGGTACTGACCAGCTTGAGAGCATATCAGATTCCTCGATCATCGTGAATACCAAGTCTCGAGTTTTCCAGCTAAAATGTCTGTGATAATCGAGTTGCAAAGTTCAAGATTCATTCAATGTCAAGGTTTCCGAGGAGGTCTCCATGTTTGATTTGAGAGTGTTTGTGACACAACCTCTGATTGGATGCTACTGTTCATGTGTCTGCGGTAAAGGAGATAAAGTGGCTATAAGTTCAGGAATTGCAAAGTATTGTAGCAACGTTTATTGTAAAACTTCAGGAACATGATGTTGAATGGACTTTCAACCCCATCTATCTATCTCTATTACCGAAAAAATCAAATATGATCAGTGGATTTAATGTCCACTTAAAGGGACTATCCCGATTTGAACAGCGTCTAAAAAATAAAAGTCTTAGTACGTATGGAAGTTAAGCGCCAAAATATGGAGGAATGGCGTATTTACCTTGTCTTAAAATCTCAGCTCAAAATATTGAGTCGTTTGGACGTGAACGTCAAAACTGCTTATCCGGACACATAATCCTTTTAAGATTTCGGGTCAATTTTTTCGTTGGGGTACCTAATATTCGATTCCCGTTCCTTTAAAGGTATATACAATGAATGACCCATGTGCTGTACTTGATAAAGAAAGGCACATTTTCACCTACACATTATTTTTATAAAAAAATGTCTGGTTTTATCCAGACACCGTATAATACAGCTCGGGACGTCAGTCTCCATTTGTAAACGAAGACTGACAGGTTTAAATTAAGTTAGTTGCTCGGCTCTAAGGCAGGGAATTTTATAGGATGTTGACACAAAATTAAGCACTTTTATTCTCCAAAATATTATCGGGATTGGCCCTTTAATATAACGCAAGCTCTTTAACAATGAGAGAAAAAACAATACTGAATACAATTAAATCTGTCATTAATTTCTTATGCTCTATCGACGAAATAGCTTTTTATCGAATAATCTGAATGTAGATTTAACTGGATATAAAACTGAAGTACATGTACATTGTAATTGTATACAATAAACATGACAATACGAAATTTAACAATTTATGGAATTTTTATTTTCCTTACCTGATCATCATATTGTGCTCCTGCCGGTTCCAAATATCCATCCTCTCGTTCATTAAAACCATCATGTGACCAGTACGAATGATCAAAAGCAAATTTCCTTGGTTCTGCTTTTGGATTTTCAGGATCTGTGATCTCGGTCGTTTGACCAGACATATTAATAATGATGGATGCATTTCGGCTTTTTTCTCTTGAATTGTGGGATTAAAGTTAAGGGAAATATTGTTCTGAATATAAAACGTTATTAACCAAACTCACTCAATGAAATAGTTAATCAATCAACAGTTGCTATCTGAATCTTTTGTCATATTTAACTCCCATCCTGACAAAATAGAAAAATTTGCCAAGGGTTTCGAGCCCAACACCAGAGGCTGATCCAGGTTCCTGTGAAGGAAATTTGACAGTCAACAATGCATGATGCCATCATCATCTCCAAATTACGTCGGCAAACATACACACTGAGCTTTTTAAAGAGAGAAATCCAACACTGTTAGACGTCAATTTTTATTATGGATTAATAGAATCACATTGTGATTCAATTTCATTGATGCAAAGCATTAATTATTGTGATATCACATATGTCTATATCATTATCTTGCACTTTGTATGCTCATCCCATCCCACCATCTGATGATAAAGGTTAAAGCACACGACTGTGACACTTTTCTCATAAAAAGTGTTGTTTTACAATTTTTTTTATGTTGCTGAACAAGGTGAGGTGGGGGTTTAACCTGGATCTGCCCCTGAACACCTTCCATATATACATGATTCATATTCATTAGACTTTACTCCAACCCCTTTTGAAATTCTACATTCACTGCACAATATATAAAACCAAAAAAATTTTGTTAAGCCTGTTAAATCATTTGGACAACTAAAATTAAATGACAGAACGTTTTTATGGGAAACAAAATCACTGGTTTATTCTAAAAGCACGACGTTTCAACAAGTATCCCCTTATCGTGCTTTTAGAATAAACCAGTGATTGTTTCCCATAAAAACTGTGTTCTGTTAATGTGTTTCCCAATCGCTAAATGCCACTTAAAGATTAAAATTAAATGGCCGAAAATCGAGTTTAATGTTATCAGGTATGTCACAGAACTACCACAATTTTATTTGTAATACAAACAAAATTAAATTTACTATTCTCACAATTGCTTGTGATTAGTCTTTAATACCCCTCCTTTAAGCCCCTCTCACCTCCGACAGGAGTGAAAGTATCTCCTCTGTTCTCATTCTAAGTTTTTGGGTAGTATAAATAAACTATTCTTACAGCCAGAATTAGGTTTATTATTCACCTCAATTATTAATTCAATATTTTGAAGCAGGTGTGTCAAGTGTTGATATTTCAAATATGGCATGTTTATGTATTTTGAAGGAAGGGTGTTGGCCTATTAATCTGATAAGGATTAAAGAAATGTGGTCAGTTCTAGATAATATGAATTGTTATTATCTTTTTATTAATGACAAATTCATAAATGGGTATCTTAACTATGGGGCTTTAATTTATGGCTTGAGGCTATTCTGACAGTCTACTTTATTGAAAGCTAATTGGAGTTTTGGTAGGGAAATTAGTAAGTAAATAGATCTGGTATCCTGTATGTATGTAAATTTGTGCGGTAAACAAATCCAGTCCGAGATAAATAATACTTATCAAATATTTATATATTACATGTTGACTTGGTTCAAGTAGACTGTCAATATCTTACTTAATACTCTTATTGTTTTATATTGCCCATGGTAACATAACAAATAAATACATGTGTAATTCTGGCTGGATAATGTTCAACTATATGGCCATTAATTACTGTTATCGAGTCCCTTGAGCTTCAGTGGTTTTATTATAATGATTAACTTTGATACATGATACCTTGATTATGAAATTAAAAATCATACAGCATACACAAGTTATTTATATGACAAGAAATAAACTTGGAATGTCATGGATGCCAGTCATTGGAATAAATAATATATATATACATGTAGCAGTGCAGTTTTTCACCACTGACATTGTAAATGAGAATAGTTGTACAAAAGATCAATAGCAATCTATCAATTTCAACTGTCAATCCTTCTGTCTTACATGTACATTCAAATTTAAAGGAGCTAATTAAATCACTATTCTGTGGAAGCTCAAAAACACATATTGATGTAATATGTCAATGTATATAAACTGCTTTTTACAATCATATATTTTCATTTTTATTGTAATTTCTGATGAGTTATACTTGTAGAAATATGTAAACAGTCTAAATTTAATTGCATTCGCTTGTGTCTGGTTAGTTGAGTCCACATCGGGAGAACAGTTGGACATTTCTCTTACGCACTGATGTTTTGCCTCATTACAAATGGCACTCTGGAGCACACCACGTCACTGATGTGACTTTAAAATTGTTCATTCTGTTTTAAAGGGACAATAACACTCTAGCTGGCTTGAAAGCTCCAGAAAATAAATAATATCTCTATCTAAGTACTAGATGTTTACGTGTCCTACCTGTTGTGTAAATTATCCATTACATCCTATTTTACTTGTCCAGAGGGTTCAAAAATATTTTTAAATCGAAGTTTCATTTGAAAAGGTTTACGTTAGACGTTTCAAACCATTATGTTGAATTTTTCAAAATTTTTAAATAAGGTGTGTTAAGATGAAATTTGCATCCTCAATTAATTGAAATATTCTAAAATAGTACAATTTGTTGACCAGAATAAAGATTGGGACATATTATTCAGTTACAAGAAGAGTGGTATTGAGCCTTTAAATACTGGATATGAGAGGCTCATATTTTTACCGTAAGATAACATCAATATTGATTAGAATGGACCAATAATTTGTGTCTTTAATGTAGATGACTGTGGATAAAGCTAAGTTAGAGTTTTACTACCTTTAAAGAGAAGAGAAGGAAATTTATTCTCTATCTCTAATTTTATCTTAAAGGCTCAATACCACTCTTGTTGTAACTGAATAATATGTCCCAATCTTTATTCTGGTCAACAAATTGTACTATTTTACAGTATTCCAATTAATTGATGATACAAATTTCATCTTAACACACCTAATTTAAAAAATTGGAAAAATTCAACTAAATGATTTGAAAAGCCTTACGTAAACCTTTTCAAATGCGACTTGGATTTAAAAATATTTTCGAACTCTCTGGACAAGTAAAATAGGATGTAATGGATAATTTACACAACAGGTAGGAAACGTAACCATCTAATACTTAGAATAAGGCTAATATTTATTTACTAGAGCTGTCAAGCCAGCAAGAGTGTTATTGTCCCTTTAATATAAGAGTTTCTCAATATAGTCATATTAGAAAAATCTGGCAATAATATTTAGTGTGGCCATAGATAAGCTTTTCCTGGGACATGTATGTGTGAAATCTACAATCACTACATTTTAAGATGTTTGTGAATTTGGATAAAAAATTACTAAGACTCTGTGTTACCTGGTATACATGTATGTAATGAATAAGCAATATGACACTGCAATTGTATTGATTTTTATCTTTTCGTACAGTGGAAACTTAAGATACATGAATATTGTCTATATCACAAATATAGACTCAACATGTATTACCCCATCATAGGTCAGTCAGTTCCCTCAATTTTCAAAATTGTTCCTAAGTTGGTGGAACAACTGGCATTAATCAAGTTATCTCCCTCATATAATTGAATTCTAAATATCAAGGGTTCTTTTACATGTGTACACTTAAACTTTGTTTTTAATCCCATCCGCCCAATGACTTGATCCTGTTCCTTACCAGGCCCCTTGTCCTGCACTTTCTTGACCAGGATGGGGGCATCATTTGAAAAATATTGGAAAAACAGAGGCAATGAGCCACCTCCAGATAAATATTACTGATGTCAATGAATCAGAGTATGCCATGTGTTCAACTTCAAATAATGTGATAGAGATGGCTTTATTTGATAAGTATAAGTATTTTTAACAATGATGTACCAACGAAAGCTGAATGATCAGGACTAATAACTTGTTTTAATGACACTGAAAGGTGGTTTAACATTCGATTGTTCTGTACTGACTTTAATAGCCTAATGAAGGTGGGCATACACCATACAGTTTGCTATGAGAGATATTTTGCCAGGATAGCAGCGCTACGACCTACTCTGTCTTCTTATTTTTAATTCCAAAGTGCACACCAATGTGTGGCCCACAATTAAAGGACCTTGTCAGGCACTCCATACTACACTGTCTAACAGATACATGTAGCCTACATGTAATTTAACTGGAACAATGAAATCTGATTACCGGTATATAAATAATATATGCTAGCCAGTTTCTTATCCTGTTGCTGATATTATGTTGAAACAAAACATGCTAATCAGTACATACATGTACATGTAAATGCTTATTTTACTTGTCTAATAGCACTGTTATCTACAAGTACCTAGTCCAATATGTCTGACACTGTTCATTCGATTTGTAGGGCTTAACTTCCGCTTGTAGGTGTGATATCACGAACCAGAAATGTCCCTTTCCCTAGCTTTTTATCCATGTATAGTATTTTATAGTTATATTGTGATGGTTGATGTCCACGCCAAGAAGAGTCAGTGAGACATACACATCTAAGGTCGTGTTTCAAGAAGCATCAAACAATAATATATGAGAAGTTTAATAATTACTGACATTTCCTCAGATGTATCTCAACAAAATATATTATTCTTTTTACCCAAAATAATACCACCCCCCATCGATATCACATGTTGGTGTAAAATGTCGAAATATCAATACAGCATATTTCTGTCGGTTTGTATTATATATCTCCTGATATTAATAAATGGTAAATAATGAATTTCATAACTTGAATGTATTTTTTCTAAATGTGTAACCATGACAATTAATTGTTATAGTCTAATAAATTGAGAATACAATGAGATCAATTAAGAGCCCAAAACATTTGATAATAATGCTAATGGCAGTATTAATTAATTAACAGGTTGGGGTTTTTTTTAAATTATTTTAATTTATAAGTACCGGGTATCACAGATCATATAAATAATGAAATGAAATGGGGTTTAACGTTCTACTGTTCTGCTCTGACTGGGCTAATGAAGAGGGGGATAGGCTACGCATACAGTCTGCTCAGAGACAAATTTTACCCAGAAAATGGCGCTACATCCTACTCTTACATCTGCCAAGGGATCTTTTATGTGCACGCCAATGTGTACATAGGA